TTGGAATCTGGAATGGACTACTATTTGTAAGTAATCTACCCAGCTTTGTACATATACTGTATATATATATATACATACATACAATGTGATTTCCATTTGTGATCATGTGATCTTCGGTTAGGGGATCTTTGTGATGCTTTTTAAAGCAAAGTTGGGGTTGATTTCGAGTTCAGATACAAACATGAATAGAATAGGCTAATTAAATTTGTCTATTTTAATGTAAGATGTTGTCACTGCCTTCCGCCATTTCCTCTCGTGCAAAAAAAAACAACAACAGCATTGCCTGCTGCTTCTGCGTCAGACTGATGCTGGCTGGACAGGATTTACCGTGAGTTTTCAAAATCGCTATAATCAAACACGGTTTTGATGATAATTACATTTTAAACGATAATACTAACCGTCAGGGCATTTTATTGTGATTTATCGTGAAACCGGTAATCGTTCCATCCCTACGGACTACAGTGGCATTATCTCAACAGCGTCAGTATTTCATGGCTCAGGTCATGATCCAATGTTTTTGGCTCCTAGGGTCCCCATAGAGATTGAGTGAAAGAACTGTATACTGAGCTAAAAATTGAATTCTGCTACTTCCAATACTATGTATTATCATGTTTGGAAAAAGTTCTGAGCAGGCTACTTTATGTTAGATAAAGTACCCCCACCCCCTAACACTACACATCTTGGCTGCGCCCAAAAGCTGAAAAATGCTGCCTCCATAGGCAGCATATGGAGGTAGGAAGACAACAAGGCATGTCCGAATCCAATGATCATGTCACATCATGTCTGCTGAGATACATTCATCTGATAGATTTTTGAAGGCAGCATAAAGGTATCCTTCGCTGCCTATGATATCCCACAGGACTGTGGGTTTGATTCCATAACAGCTGAGCTATGGCATCTAAAAGCTGTGGTTTTTGGTCAGTTTGTCTGTTAATGTAAATGTTATTTCCACATTCAATCTCATTTCTAGCTAGAAATTAGTACTATAGAAATGTAATATTCACTTAGTTATCCCCAAAGCGCTCTCTATTTTGTTGTAGATCATTAAACTATTATGCTGTCTCAGAAGTATGCCTGAAATAATTTTCGGGAGGTACGCTGCCTGGAAAGTCATTATCTGATAGGGCAACAAGGCATATGCTTTTAGACACAGCTGTTGTATGCCAACCTAATCAGACACACCTGATTCAAATGATCAGACAGTGGCTAAGTCGGTGACTACTGTCAACTGTTTGGTTACCAACATTCTTGAAAATACAGAAAAGTTCTCATACAGAACAACTTGAGGGTGAGTAAATGATAAAAGATTTTTCATTTTTGGGTGAACAATCCATTTAACTGTTGGAGTTTAAGGAAGTAACCAGTTTGGGCCAGATGCTGCTTCATTACTGTGTGCCCACAGAGAGTGGCATTTTCTACAGATATGTTCATCATGTGTGTCTGTGTACACACGGAATGGTGTTTGTGTATGTAGTCTGAAGAAGGTACACACACATATTCTCTACATGGTGCTCGGCTGTGTTTGTAGACAGTGTCTCAGCAGGGAAGCAGTCTTTAACAGTCTGCCAGAATACCACATGCTTCCTGTCTTCTCCTGCTTGTCCCCTAGTGTGAGTGCTCTCCAGCAGACCCAGGAAGAGCTGTCCATATAGAGAATGCTTAGGTGTGAATGGATCCAGCACCCTGCTGTGATTTTAATTTTATGTATCCTAATAAGTTGTGTGTAAAATACTGGATTTTCAAGACCACAATCAGGGTGGCAGAGTGGCTAGGTGGTTAGCACTGTTGTCTCACAGCAAGAAGGTCCCTGGTTCGAGCCCCAGCAGGTGTGTGGAGTTTGCATGTTCTCCCTGTGTCAGCGTGGGTTTACTCCTGGTACTCTGGTTTCCTCCCACAGCCCAAAAACATGCAGGTCAGGTGAATTGAAGATTCTAAATTGTTCCCCCCAACTTGTGTGTAAGACAGACTTATGTATGGATTAACTGGTTCTCGCCAATAATATAACCATAGATGCTGGAATGGCGTTAAGAAGAAAATAAACAAACAAGACCACAATCAAAACCCATCTTGTTCCAGTTCAGACATTACCAGCTATCGTTGCCCCTCCTTCTTGTTCTGTGCATTGTTTGCATTGTGACCGTTCTCTGCTGCTTCAACTAGTCTCTGAATTTGACAAAGTTTGTGAGATACCTGACAGTAAATGAAGAATGAAATGAGATTGAGACACTATCCAAAAGCCCACCTTTGAGTTAGGTCCAGTTACACATTTACTTGCCTCCAAACATCAATTAGAAAGCAAACTCTGGTTGGTTGACCATATTGTCTCTTCCTTTGTGAGCTTCCTTGGTCAGGATATACTGCAGTGTGGAGACGTTATGCTGATGCTCAGCACTAGCACTCAGATAGCTTTGTTTCATCACTTGTGTTAACTCTGCCTTCTGTTTCTCTTTCTCATTGTGTCTGTATCTGTAGCCCATCTGTGGGTGGCATTTAAAAACAGACAGTTGATGCACATTATGATTAGGTCACTCTCACTGTTAAAAACAGCTCCAGAAACGCCTCTTCCCAGTGTCTGTCTGATTTTTCTCCAGTCCAGACAGCTGTAGGTAGGCTGCAGGAGCATACAGACTGGGCCAGTGAAATGGGTAAGTGACAGTGATCTGAATAATGGCAAGTTGGGTGTAGGCTGACATCCAGTTTCCCAAAACTTTATTTCAGTTGCTAAGGCAAGAGAGTGTGTACATAAACATACAGTTCCCGTTGTGAGATTTCCTGTTAAAAACACATTGTACTTTGGAGGACAAACAAAAATAATGAATGAATTAATTAATTAATCTACAATCTAAATGATAAATACCTAAATAAGTAAATTAGTATAAATAAGTACATTTGCGAGGCATCAAAATTATTTTTTTAACAGAACACCAAATCTGAAATTAAAGTTTTCATTTAGCCATAAAACTGAAATTTAAAAATGTAATAATCAGTAAATTAATCAAATGTATTTAATTAACACTCAAGTAAAAAACTGAGTTGTATCCAATGATTTAAGTTCTTTTTTTAATTCTTGATTTTATTTTTTATTAATTTACTAATGTGGTCATTCAATTAGTAATAATAATTTATTGGGTTTATATTTGAAATATATTTATTTACATTTGTTTTACAATTAGTTATTTCTGTACGTATGCACTTGTGTATTTATTCTTTAGTTGTTTTTATTTTTATTTCACAGTTATATTTCCTCCTCCAATATGATAATCAGAGGTGGTCCATTTAACCCCGTTGCCTATACTCAAAATTGGATTACAAATGCCATTTATTTCCATTACATTATTATACAACCATTTATTTCTGAGATAATTGGATACAATGTCGATGTCAAATGTTTATGGTTGCATACTAGACAATAAGGGAAAAAAAGTTGCAGTATGCAGTACACAAGTATTAATTTCTGAACACGGTCAATGTGTCTCTCTCACAGCAGGTGTGGTGTGTGTGATTAATTAACTGCTCCATTTGGACTTGGATATTAAAGGGCTCATCCTTTATCCAGCAGAGACAGAGACACAGGAGTAGAGGGGAGGACTAAGTCCCTAGTTCTGCTTGAGAAGAGAGAGCGGCAGACCCTGGGGGGTAGGGGTACCCTGTTTTTTTGTGGCTTTCCATCTGTAGAAACAGGCTGCATACATAACACAAGCTTATCGTCTCACTCACATAAGTGATAGTGGCTCTGTTCCACAAACTGGTGACAATTTAAAGCATCATAGGTATGCTCCTGATGTGAAGGCTGTTCCGAAAGGTAAGTGGCATCACAAGCTTCAGATAGGACAGTCCTAAAATGTGACCGACTCAGTGAAAGCATACAGAAAGGATGGTGGACAAAGCAAGATAACTGAGATATGATTCATTTGATGCTGAAAAGAATATAATAGGCCAGTTTAATTAAATTTTACTTTTTTCTAGTAAAGGTTCTTAGTGAATATTTTGTGTGGTGGGGGGTTCAAATAACGTGTCAAAGAGATCACCCTAAAATGACATTTTGTCGTCATTTACCTGTCCACACCTGTATGTATTTCTTTATTCTGCCTTACATAATAAAAGGACACATTTTTCAAAATATGTGCTTTTGTGTTCCATAGAAGAAAGAAATGCATACAGGTTTGAGTAAATTATTTGTGTGGCGTGTGGAGTTGCTGCCTAAGTAGAGTGCATAGAATTAGTCTCTTACGTGATTTCATCTCAATTAAGATCTAGCTGTGGAAAGAACAAAACTGATGTGTGTTTGTTCAGAATGGTCATAATATGATATGATATGGTCATGATATCTGCTGTTTCACGGAATGAACCATGTGAGTGCACCAAAAAACAATGACATGTGTTTGTGTGTGTGTGTGCGTGGGGCAGCATATGGACTGAGGTGTGTTGAGTTCTGCTCTCACACCAGGTGTGAAATGGGCTGTTTAATTAACTGCTGATGCCGTTCTAATGCAGCCTGAGACGTGTGTGTGTGGTCAGTGTGAGGTAGAGGTGGGTTAATAGATGAACCCTCAGAGAACAGAGATGCACATTAATCACACGGGCACACACACACACACACACAGTCTCTCTCTTTCTTTGCAGTGTGAAATCTGTTCATTTTAGTGGCATTCAGAGTGTGACAGGAAGTGTTGGAACCTCTAGTCCATATATGGGAACGGCTTCCTCTGAGAGCAGCTTGCACAGACGCATCGCACTGAATACATTTGAATATCATTAGCATCTCATAAAAGCATACCAGTTTGACTCAGATGGTTTGTGTGTGTCAATAAGAGGCCCATCTGCCTGTGTGTGTTTCATTTGAAAGAAAAGACAACCATAAAACCTACTTGAGAGAGATCTGATGCCTGCCTCTCCGTCACACACACATTATCTTGTGATGATGTTTGGTGCAGTAATTTAGTGCTAATGCTGTAAAGACACATAAAATATAAATGTGTCTGACAGATCCACACTCACGGGAACTGCAGGAGGATGATGATGTTTGATGGATGAGCGCGTGTCAGAGTGAATAAAAGAGAAGAAAGCTATAAAGGTGGGGGTATCTTGCTGCACATGTGCCTGCAGTCCTGTTGAATTATTCACTGTGTCCTGTGTATCACACTGGGAGAAACAAATGAGAAGACACTGAGAAACGGCAGCAGATGAGCAGCTATCAGTAATGACTACAGGCATCACACCGCTGTTGTGTAATAGGGAACTGCCTCTGTAGGCAGCAGTATAAGGCATCATAGGCATTACTCTCCTGACATGAACTTTACAAAAATTAGGCAACTTAATCACACTGCCTCGTCCCATACCTTATTTTTGTCCAGTTTCTAGCAGAATGGCATTCATCCATCATGGATAAGGTCCATAATGTTGATAATATATTTACAATTACACATTCAATTGTGAAATGTATCAATAAAAACAAATCACAATTTCAATACAGACTGTCCTCAAGCAAGTTTGTGTGTACTTTGTCGTGTCATTCCTCTTGTTTTGGAATCTGCTGTGGGTCGAATCTCTCATTCACTTCACAAGTGGCTGCTTATGTAGATTGTTCCAAATCACTTATTCAAGAGCTTCAGTTTCAGTTTAGGGCTGAAATATCAACAGTGGTTTGATCACTGAAAAAAAAAAGAATATCTGGCCCAATCAAAAAGAGAGATTTCTGAAGTTAAATCAAATACAATCAAGTGAACCAAAAAATTGTTCTGATATTAGGTAAGTCTCAGTATCATGTATTTTCAAATTATTTTGTTTATCTTGTTTATTGTTAGTTAGCACTAATACATACTCTTAACCATCCTAACCTTTGAAAATAATCATTATTTGCAGCCCTATTTCAGTTGGGATACTGCATGAGTTATAGATGCTGGTTTTGGAAGAGGCTAAGGTGTGTGTGTGTGTAGCCTGTGTTAAATGACTGAATGAGACAGGAGGAGACACTCGTGTCTTTGGGACTCAGCTGCAATTTGCTGATGTAGATTCACTCTCACACTCTCTCTCTCATTCTCTCTCCCTCTCTCTTTCGCGTTATCACTTTGCATGCATGCTTAATGGTGTGCAGCTGTAATTACTGCAGCAAGCGCCTCTTCACCTCTGCTCACCTTTGCTCCTCCTTTGGTGTTAACAGAAACCTTTGTGGCATTTCTCTTAAAAGCTTTCTTCTGAGAACACTAGCTCCTAATGTCTTCCCTTCCTGTTTTACAGACATCATCTGGGCTTAAATGTCTTGACACTCGAATGAATATGGCTGAGGTGACTGAAAAGTAGTTCTTATTCAGATTATTATCCTGCTCCATTTTTAAGGCGTATTTTCTGCACCGGGTAAAATTTAAGTTAACACTTTAGTATAGGGACCAATTCTCACTCTTAAAGGGTTAGTTCACCCGAAAATGAAAATTAGGCTGTGTTTTACTCACCCCCGATGCATCCTAGGTGTATATGATGTTCTTCAGCATGCACAAAGCTGACCTCATATGTCATTCCCCCTGGAACTGCTTCCGTTTACAACAGTGAGCGCAAGCTAGAGTCAAGCGATTATTACGTTTTGAATATGGAATATTGGGCTTGAACAAGTGCACTGAAGTCAGGATGAATATATGAGGTGGATATGCGAAGGACAGCACACAAGTGATCATCACTGAGAGAGGATCTGTATCTGGATTTGTTAAACTTCATCACTGAGAATGTTTGTTCACAAATGTGGGTAGATCCAAAGACAACCAACATCCTCTGTGCATGCCTCCTAATGTGTGGAATGTTTTCCTCTTTGAGAGAGGAATAAAAATGCAGTGGGGATTCTGACTTAAAGTGCTCTGCAGTAGTTTATCAGACTGCAGGTCAATGAGTTCAAGCTGAACATCAATGGGTGCATTGTCCAAACAGCAAGTGAAGGGAGAAGAAATCATGTGCATTTCATTCTCAGTTGTTTTGAAGTCTTCAAATCGCCTTGCAAACTCACCATGCAGTGCCCCTAACATGGGCGAGTACCTGTGGAGGTGATCAGCTGATGGTGTGACTTCTTTCAGTGTTGGCATGTGGGTAAGAACGTTGCCCTCCAATTGGCTTGAAAGAAACTTCAACTTTCTCCGGAGAGCTGTCACTAAGCTGTACATTTCATGTACAAAGAGGCCCTTGCCTTGCAGCTTGGTATTTAGTTCATTCATAAGTGCAGTCACATCAACAGCGAAAGCCAGATCTGCATCTGAGAGCTCTGGGATGTCCTTGCATTTCTTCTCACAAAACTCCTGAATTTCTGCTCTCAAGTTCCATACGCTTTTAAGCACCTTGCCCAGGCTGAGCCATCTGACAGTTGTGTGGTAGCCTATGTCACTATGTTCACTTTCATGCTCCTCCAAAAGTGCAACAAACTGTCTATGATTCAGTGCTCTTGCCCTGATGAAGTTAACTATTTTAGTCACAACATCAATAACATGGTTGATTTTTAGCACTGACTTACACAACACCTCCTGAAGTATAATGCAATGCAAAAGAACCAATTTCTGTTCTTGGTTTATTTCAGTCACTTTATCTTGCATCCGTTTCAAATTCTTGTATTTCTCTGTGTGTTTAGTCTCGTAATGGCGATTCAAATTGTAATCCTTAAACACAGCTATCTGTTCTCCACAATCTAAGCACACAGCTTTACTTTTGAGTTCAGTAAATAAATACTTAGAAGTCCATGTCTTCTGCATCAATCTTTCTTTTTTTAATGTTAGCTAACATATTTAAGGGCTAACGGCGAACTCTTGAATGCTGTCCTACATGATCGCGAACACATTTCAGTGAGGGTGCGTACAGTCACATGCACGGACGTATGTAAATAAAAAATATATATATTGTTGCCTTCAAAATAAAAGCAGTGCGGTTGTATTACGTGTTTATAGGTTATTTATGTCATGTTGCGGACAAATAGCTAAATAATGTAGATTTACGCTGACTCTATATCAGACCTGGGCATTGCACGGCCCCATTTGCGTTTGAATTTTAATTAACCAATTACTTCACGCGGGCCGGTCAAGGATATCCAGAGGGCCGGATATGGCCCGGGGCCGTAAAATGCTCAGGTCTGTGTTAGACTCTGCTCACCTCTTACAGCGGACAAACTGACAGACTGAGGGACAGATGGAGTGTGTGTAGAGGTGCACCAATGATGACAGCTTTAGAGAGCGATGATATAGCACTGGATTGTAATTGGCTGGATGTCCATGCAGGACTTTCTTTTTTCTCTCTCTTGTCAGAGCTTTTCCTGTCATCTCTCTTCATGAATTCTCCTCCCTGTCTCCATCTGTTTGATGTAGGCTGTCTGTCTCTCTACTCCTCCACGAGACATTTATATTTATGTAATATATCCTTTCCACTTCAAACAGAACTAGTCAAAAATAAACGGGTGCGCACACAGCTTTAAGTCGTAACTCATACAGAGATGTGTAAGAAGCTGGTGCAGTGTGTTTGCAATGTGGGTTTCAATTTGCTTTTATTTATAAGCTACAATCTCATGCAGAGATCACATAATTTTTGTTTTTAAGCATAAAGAGACAATACCTAGATAAATGGCATGAAGTGGATTACAGAATGACTGATAAACTGTTTCTCTCCTCTTTCCTCTCATTTAGCAGGATCAAGGAACAATACCTAGATACATGGCATGAAGTTGATTACAGAATTACTCATAAACTGTTTCACTCCTGTTTCCTCTCTTTTAGCAGGATCTTCCATCAGCAGCGAATCATCTCCTGTCTCATCTCCGGCCACTAACCACAGCTCCCCAGTTAGTACGCCCAAGCGAGGCCCCATGGGTCCAGTTATAGTGCCTCCTGGGGGCCACAGCATACCCAGTACCCCACCTGTTGTCACCATAGCACCCACCAAAACCGTCAACGGCCTGTGGAGGAGCGAGAGCCGAACTGTACGAGAGGTAAAGTTAATCATAATATACAAAAGCTCTGTTCAAAACCCTAGAGAGCCATCTCACTGATACAAAGACAGCTTTGTAACATGTTAAGAGAGTCTTAGAATGCAACAATTTTATTGTCTTCCTTACAGACCAGCTGTCTTGTCAGGAACTTTAACATGCAGTTTAGGTAGGCAGCTGAAAAGGAACAGAGCATGTGGAATTCTCACATGTTTTCTTCAGGTTCATCGGTTCTCTGTTTGTCTGTATAACAATGCATAGTAAAGATTTACAAAAATCTATTTCAGATAAATGCTTTTCTTTTAAGTATCACAGTTTCCACAAAAATATTAAGCAGTTTTGTCGGCACCAATAACCTAGTGGGCAATGCTCCGACATATAACATTGTTGCGTTGTGGCGTCCCGAGATCGAATCCCAGCTCGAGGTCATTTCCCGATCCCACCCCCACCTCTCTCTCTCCCACTTCGCTTCCTGTCTACTCTACACTATCCTATTGTAATAAAGGCAAAAACGCCAAAGAATTTATCTGCTACACTGCTGCTGCTGGTTATTGCTGTAGTTGTAGATATTGCTGCTGCTGCAAATACTGGAAGTTGCTTTTGCCAATGCATATATCGATACAGTGCTGTGAGTATTTAAGACATACTGCTGCTGCACAAATAGCATATAAAATAACCCGTAGCAGAACTATACAGGTGGAGCTGGGGAAGGTGGTGGGTTTCAGAGGAACTCTGAAAGCATGCTGCAAATGCTCAAGTGAATGCTAACCAGCCATTTAAATGTGAAGTAGCAAGCTCATTGCATATGCAACATAAACCAATCAGCTTGTGCCAAGTCATTTAACGCTGTGAATATCATCAGTTACGTTAATACCTGTCAGTCTGCGCCATCTTGAGTTTCATGACTGAAGTATACTTAAATGTTACTTGAGCACCAATTCGGCATATTAGAATAGCCTAATTTCTGAAGGATCATGTGACACTGAAGACTGTAGTAACTAGGGATGCACCGATACCACTTTTTCCAGTACTCGCCCGATACCGATACTTTTATTTTTGGTACTTGCCGATACCGAGTACCTTTTTAAAATATTGGTTACAGAAACCAAAAGAGTATGTATAATGTTAGTTGGTTAACTTCATTTATCAAATAGATACAGTCAAACCACTCGCGCATCTGCGCCGCCGCGCGCTCAATTTGCTTATCAACTCACGCACATCAGCTATACAGGCATTAATACTGAATGTTTAACATTATATTCATTGCATGCATATACTTTGTATACATCCTTAATCTCTAATAACTCCATTCTGCTGTCTGTTGTTTTGTTGTCTGTTTTTTTTGTCTGAATATGGCGCTTATCACATGCTGTGTGGTATCGGCGTTTGGTATCGGGGCATTTTAACGAGTACGAATACGAGTACAGGAGCTCAGTATCGGGCCCGATACCGATACCAGTATCGGTATCGGTGCATCCCTAGTAGTAACAGGTACTGAGAATTGTACCATACCATATAGCTTTATTGAAGCAACATGCCTACTTGAGGCTGTTTGTGGCAAGAAAAACTGGCTTGTTGCTTTATTCACATACATGTATAGTGCTGGATTTTCATTTGCTTTGTGAATCACAGTGTCAGAATGTGTGTGACATGTTTGGGTGATACACAGCCGACAACAGCACCAGCTACCTCCCCCCACCCCCACCCCATTATACACGCCCTCTGTCCCCAGTGTTAAACAATAGCCCTGCAACAGCACTAAACATATGTGTCCTCACCCCTCTTCAGATGCCTGTAGTAAATGTATGTGCGTACTCGCTTTGATTAAAGCTGCAGTCTGTAAGTTTTGCATCTTTGTCGCCATCTCTGTTTGAAACCTGCAATTGCAGTTATTTGTGGAATTATTTTCTTTACGTGGGTTGTGCACTGGCATGGCTCCTCAGTGCGGATAAATCTAATGTTTTGATGTGTGGCTGTCAGTCACTGCAGTGTGTGGATACTGTACTTAGGAATCACAGATTCTGTCTTGGAAGTATTGCCCAAATAAGAATTTTCACTGGATATTGTCATCTAAACAATTAAGTAACATGTCTGCCACTTTTGTTCTGATCAACTGAGGAAAAAAGCATTACAATAAATCAAGCTACCAATGGTGATTAAATCTAACGATTGCATCAGCATTGCATGACTACATGTATGTAGTGTGTATTAGCGTTACATGTAGATTTCAATTTCTGTAACTTTACAGTCTAATCTCTAATTGTCATGCCATTCAAATTTCATATAAAGACATTCTTTTAACCCAAAAAGCAAATTATTCTTCCTTAGAACTGGTTCTCTTTGCAATACAAAACTTGTGTAATCCCACGTAGGCTATCTGTAATCAGATTTAAAACTGGAATATAATCTAATTTCAGTCACTTACATGTGTTTCATAAACACATAATCATTTCTGGATTACAATCCGCAATCAAAATAACACATTTGATTATTCCAGCTGCTGTGAGAAAAGTCTATAAACGATCCGCCACCTGCAGCACCCTCACATGCGACAGCCTACTAGCCGGGACAACTTCTTTATGTTTACAGACGCAGACACAGCGGCATGCTTGAATTTCCCACGAAACCTACCCTGTACCACTCAAATTAGAAAATATTATTATAAGCTTATACCATTGTGAATCGGGCTAAGGTCAGGAGATAGTTTTGAACACTGGCTGGTTATGTACTTGCTCAAAAATAGATTTTGGATAATTTTTAATTAAAAAAAAGTTACGGACTGCAGCTTTAAAGATTACAGTCATCATCTTCCTCTGGCTACATCTACGCTCACCCTTAGAAACTGGGGTGCCTTTTTAACTGAAATGAAGCTGGCACTCAGCTGGGAGATCTGTGATCCAGCGTGAGCGAGAGACGCAGCGTTTTGCTCCAGTCTCTGATCAGCCCTGTCTATGTGTTGCTCCAACTGAGGTTGAACACCTCTGACATCACACTTTATGACAGGAGGGGTTCGACTACACATACTAAGGATTCTGGGTTGGTATAGTTGAGGGAGAGGGGCAGGGGTGCTCAGGCCATAGCTCTCACACACACACACACATACTGAACAAAGAGCTTTCCGTCTGCTCCTCAACCCTTATTATTGCTGAGTGTGTGTGCATGCAGGGGGGTTAATCCCATAAACCAAGGTTCTATAGATTTCCCTGACTGCCTCGACCCTGACCCTCTAGTTACATAATCCTGCAGAGTGAGATACTATTGTGAATTACAAACTGTCTCTCTTTTAGCTTACTGTGACATCAGTATGATTTTTCTCAATAGTTGTCACATTTTTACTAAGTTTTACTAAGATATGTTGTGTGAGTGTGGGGTCCTCACTATACTGAGGTGGTGTATCTTCCTGCCAGACAAAAGCCACTGAGACAGACAGACAGAGAGAAAGACAGAGGAGCCAGGCATCAGGCAACCCTGGGCTCCATCACAACACACTCCTCTTTCATTTTTAATGTGCATAAGCCCCACTGCACACCTGTCGCCTTACACACACACACACACACATACACACACACACACACACGTATATATTTATGTAGCTCTATAAAAGGACATGATATATATAGTTATGCTGCTTTTACAAGATAATTATAATTACTGCAGTCTAACCTGAACCATACCAACCAACCAAAGAAAACAGTAAAACGTTTATTATATTCATGTTTTTCTTTTGTATTTTATTGTATACAGTGGGTACGGAAAGTATTCAGACCCCCTTCAATTTTTCACTCTTTACTTTCCGTACCCACTGTATATTTATTATGAATTTTGTCCCCAAACATGGCAAGTAAACCGACATGTACACACAGAATTTGTATGTAATGCAGTCAATGACCACACTGTAAAAAATGACTATGAATTTAACGGTAAATGACTGTAAAAATGCTACAGTAAAAAACCTGTTAAATGGTTAACGGTAAATTCCCCTACTATATACGGTGATATTATTACATCCTGTCTTGTTTTGGATTTTTATAACAAATAGCCATAAAAATGTGATACTTTAATTATTTAAAATGACAGAAGTGAATTTAAAGTCACCTGCTGAA